GGCAGTTCTCAGTCTGACACAGGGGAGGGGTCACGAGAGGCAGGGCCCAGAGCTGTTGTCCCCCCACCCGCCCCGGACCCTCCCTCTGCCCCCAGGACTCTCTGAGCTGCCGCCTGGTGTTCCTGTTCATGCAGTACTGCGTGGTGGCCAACTACTACTGGCTGCTGGTGGAGGGCGTGTACCTGTACGCGCTGCTGGCCCTCTCGGTCTTCTCGGAGCAGCGCATCTTCAGGCTCTACCTGAGCATAGGCTGGGGTAAGGCACCGCCAGCCATCACGCCCCCACCCCCACCTGTGGCTCGAGGCGGGGGGTGTAGGGGCTCAGCTTCCACTCCTGCCTCCAGGCTCCCCCGTGAAGCCGCCTTGGTGCTCGGAGCACACTGCTGGGCTGGGGCAGGGCCCCTGGGTGACTCTCTCCTGGGAACAGGGCTTGCTGCCCATGGGTTAGGGTTGCCCTCCCTCCTTTTCACAACCCTCCCCCTTAATGGAAGCCAAATCCACCGCATATGCCACAGCCCAGCACTGTCCTCAAATACCCCCGCCCCTGAGGCCTGCCGGGACGGAGCCCACAGCCGCCGGCCCTGGGCAGCGAGGCCGGGAGGGAGAGGGAGATCCTGGGCCTCAGTGGGGGTCACTGGGTGGGCAGAGGGTGTGGCTCTGTCACAGAGGAGGCTGGGGGTCGCGGAAGCCAGCTGAGGACGGTGGACCGCGGATGCGCCTGGAGCCCAGCCGGAAATGTTCTGGCCAAAAAAGTTTGCCGAGAACCACTGTGTCTTTTTTTTTTGCTGGAACATTTCTGGTTGTGCTTCTGCCTCTCGCCACGTGGGATCCCGATGAGAAAGGGGTGGGTGGGGCAGGGGCTGAGACCCCAGCAGCAGCAGCCCCCAGCCCCCACTCGCCGCCGAAAAACAGATGCAGCAGAATTACTCCGGGGGGGCACACCGGCGCCCCGGGGATGCAGCAGAGGCCCTGCCGCCTGGTCTCCCGGGCCTGCGGGTCCCTGCCCCCTGCCCCCTGTCCCCTGCCCGCACCACAGGGCCCCCCTCCACCAGAGCTGTGTCCATCCATCCACTCCTCCCTCCCTTCACTCGCCCGCCTCAAGCTGCTCTGACCACTGCTGTCCCGACTCCCAGGGACTGCCACTCAGTCACGGCCACGCTCCTTCTCGAAGGCCCGTCCATGCTGGCTCCTGCCCCTGGGCCTTGGCAAGGCTGCCCGGTCCAGCCCACCCCTCAGGAGGCCACGCAGGTTGCCTGGCCACCTGGCTCTGTGCTCTCTCACACTCCCCTGCTTCTCGCTGGTGTTCCTCAGCCACTCGGCTCCAGGTAGCCCAGTGAAGAAGAGTAAGAGTGCCTCTAAGGGGGCAATAGTGGGGCCAGTGTGTTGAGGGCAACAAGGTGCAGATGGGGCGGAGCCTCATGGGCAGGGCCAGCCCTGGAACAGCCGCCTGAGTCCCAGG